ATTGTATTATGAAATTTTATTTTTTAAAATTATCAATAAATTATTCAAACACTTCATAATAGAGCATATCTTATCCCTTAATGGAATTAAATGTTTCAACAGATAATTTTTTATGTAAAAATTAGAAATTTAACTCTAAAACTCATCTGTAGATAGAGTATAAACAGATAAAAGCTTTAAGACTTGGAAGACAAAGGATAGAGTATAGAGAGGATAACATCGATCATATCGAATACGGAGTAAGTACAAAAATATTCTCTTCTTGACATGTTGTGTTGTCCCCCCCAAAATCCAAATATCAACAAACAGTACGGTTAAAAATTTTCATACGGGGAAATTACGTCATTTCATGTGCCACTTTCAACACAACAATGATTTGTAATGAACCCAGTACTATAGTTCTATTTACTATTAATTTTGTAAAAATTATTTTTTAAATAAATATATTTTATTTTAAATATATTTTCAATTAATTATTTTTTAAATAAATAAAATTTCTATTTAATCTTATTATTATCTTTTTATTTTAATTAACTATTTTATCACAAAAATATATATTTATCTTTTAATTTTTTTCTTAAAAATAATATAAATAAATGTATAAGTTACCTCTAAAATTTTAATTTTAAAAAATAAATAAAAACTATAATTATTTAAAAATAAAAAAGCAACAAGTTAAATTTTTATTTTAGTTTAATTATTAAAAAATTAATTAATAATTATTAAATAATTAATATTTATTATTTAATAAATTAAAATTATTTATAAATAAATAATTCTAAATACCATACTCAATTATTTAAATAAAAAATTATCAACTAATATTCACAACCTTTTTCACAGCCCCTAATCCGATCGTCATGCTTGACTTAGTGAAGGAAAGTAAATGTAGATATACAGACACCCGGACGAATCCCAGGAGGAGAGAGAGAGAGTTGCAGACTCTATATATATCGCCACTTCTTCTGCCTTGCATTACGGACCCCTCTCCTCCTTTCCACTGGAGAGGACAATCGAAACCCAAAGCAACCCACAATTCTGTTTCTTTCTCTTTCCTCTTTGCCTCCATCTGCTTCTTTCCCTTTTCCTTCCGTTTTTTTTTTTCTTGTTTGGAAATTTCTTCTCCTCCCGACGATGTCGTCGGCTGGTCCAACCGTCCCGCCAAGCGGTAGTCCCATTCAAGGGGGACCCACCACCGCCGCTAGACGACGGGTGGATTCTGATAACAGACCCTCTAATTATAATTCCAATGACGAAGAAGACAATCCCAACAGTCATACTCCTCCCTTCTACGGTTACCACTATCACCACCCCGTGATCAAGTACATGCTTATTCACAGGAAGTGGGTTCCGGAGGTGTGGGTGCTAAGGATAGAGGACGCGTATCTGTGGACGGTGGCGATGGTTCAGAGTTTGAGATCCGGGAGACACACGGGTCGGAAGATAATGGGGGTGCTGATGCTTATGGTGGTCGTTTCGGTGTTTATGATGATGGCGTTTCTCGGTTGCCCCGCGGCGGACGTGAAGGGAAATGGAGGGGAAGATAATGGGCTTTTGAAATTGCAGACGTTCAAGGAGGACTGGGCCTTGGCTCAACGCGTCGTGACAGAGGCACGGGCGGAAACCGATGCTGAGCACTCCATGCCCAAACGTGTCTTGGAAAGGGTAGATGTAAGTTTATTTCCTCAATTAATTCAATTAATAATCAAATACCCATCAATAAAATTTTCTGATCAATCATCTTCTGTTTGGTTGCCGAGAAACCTGAGGAAAACAAGAGAAAATTTTACAACCTTCATTCTTCCTCTTCTTTTTCTATTATCAACCTTTTTATCACTTCATTTAAAAAAAAAAAAAATACTAATACCCAATGATCTTGCATTCATATGTACACTTAATCCAATGAAATAAATGTACAAAATGAATTGGATTTCGTTTAGTCAGCCATAATATATCTTAATTTTTTCCCAAATTACTTTTAAATTATGATATATTTTTATTTTATTTTATATGTGTTCCATCAAATCCCACTTTGTGAAGTTGTGATGGTTTTTGAATTGATAATTTATATTGGCATTCCCACTAGACCCATAAAGGTCGAAAATTGACTGGATGGAGGTGGCTATGACCATTCTCAATCAAAATATGGGTTGCTTTCATATGACTATTCTAGTTGGCCATAATGACTTTTTCGTTGTGCAATATTGGCATGAAAATTCATGTGCTATTTCCCAATGATACCTACTTTTGGAATTATATGCTGTAACAACATTCTTACCTTTTCTTCACACGTTTTTAGATCCCAGAAATTTGGAGGAAGCCCAACAGTGATAATTATTATCAATGTGCAGCTCGGCCAAGAAATCCGATGAGTATGCCCTGTTTCTTTCTCATATTGTTTAGAAACTTTGCAGTTCAACTGTTTTGGAAGAGATTTTTGCTAATTGAAGCTTACTTCAGGGGCTAAGAAAACAAATGGTTACATTCTTGTTCATGCCAATGGTGGTTTGAATCAAATGAGAACAGGAGTAAGTGTTAATCTCAACCGTTATTTCTAGCTTCTTTGAGAAGATTTGCATCCTTGTGATTGTATTTGATGCTAATTTATTAGCGTAATTGACATTGCAGATTTGTGATATGGTTGCTGTGGCCAAGATAATGAATGCCACTCTTGTTCTTCCTTACCTAGATCACAAGTCATTTTGGACAGACCCAAGGTACAGCTCTGATCCATTCATGTTGCTGGATTTTAGTTGAAGTAATATGATCTATTTGCTTAACCAGATCATTTTCAGAAAGTGAATTTTCTTGGTAACTAATTTCGCAGTGAGTTTAAAGACATTTTTGACTGGAGGCACTTCATTAATGTTTTGAAGGAGGATATTGAGATTGTTGAGTATCTACCCTCCAAGTATGCAGCATTGAAACCCCTTCTCAAGGCCCCTGTTTCCTGGTCAAAGGTCAGGAAAATGACATTCATTTTCTGAATGTTGTTGAATTTGAGTTCATTTCTTTGTTGCTGGAATGGTATCTTAGATGCTTCATTTGCAGGCTAGCTATTACAGAAGCCAAATGGTCCCATTGTTGAAGAAGCATAAGGTGATAAAGTTTACCCACACTGATTCAAGACTTGCCAACAATGGACTTGCAGCTTCCATCCAAAGGCTTAGGTGCCGTGCAAATTATGAAGCACTCAAATATGCAAAAGAGATAGAGGACCTTGGAAGGATTTTGGTTGATAGACTTCGGATCAATAATGAGCCATACATTGCTTTACACCTAAGGTAACCGTCAAAACTTGCCATCTAGGACGTACGTTTACCCTGGTTATGCAGTTTCTGAGGCTAATAGACCACACTTCTGATTGCAGATACGAGAAGGATATGCTTGCCTTCACAGGCTGCAACCATAACCTTACTGCAGACGAGGCTGACGAACTTAAAGTTATGAGGTACAAAACCCAACATTGGAAGGAGAAACAAATAAACAGCGAAGAAAGGCGACTCCAAGGGGGATGTCCTATGTCCCCTAGAGAAGCTGCACTGTTCCTCAAGGCCTTGGGTTACCCTTCCACCACACCCATCTACATAGTTGCAGGGCAGATTTATGGCAGCAATAGTATGGCAGCATTTCGAGCAGAGTACCCAAATGTCTTCTCTCATTCTAATCTAGCAACTGAAGAAGAGTTAGAGCCTTTTAAGCCATACCAGAATCGTTTGGCTGCCTTGGATTATATTATGGCGCTTGAAAGTGATGTCTTTGTTTATACATATGATGGGAACATGGCAAAGGCAGTGCAGGGACACAGAAGGTTTGAGGGATTCCGAAAGAGCATTAATCCTGACAGGTTTGTTAACATCTCTACTTGATCCCCATCAAATTTGTTTTTTGTTGAAACTCAAATGTTGAGACATTAAGAGTTTACAACTAACCAACATGGTGTCATCTTTCTCAGACAAAACATTGTCAGACTCATTGATATGCTAGATGGAGGTCAGATATCATGGGAAGAGTTCTCTACAGAGATTAAGAGACTGCATTCAGACAGGCTTGGAGCACCATATCTTAGACAAATAGGAGAGTCACCCAGGGTGGAAGAGAATTTTTATGCAAATCCTCTTCCAGGATGTATTTGTAACAGGTCTCGGGAGAAAATCAGTAGCCTGAAATATGACCAGAGACTGCCTTTAAGGTCAGTTCAAAGATAGGAGTTTTAGTAAGTCAGGAAATACATCCTTGGTTTATACTATACCCTATACAAAGATGGCTGAGACGGGCTCTCGAGTCAAACCATTTATTTCCGCCTATTTTGGAGACTTGTAGCAGCCACACCTTGAGGGTCGAGACATCTTTGTAAGATAAAGAATACAGTCACACGATTAGTGGGTCAAATAACCAATTTAGGGGAGCAGAAAGGAGTACACATAATTTTGTGGCAAATCAGGAAATGGTTTATACGGGCAGAGAAGCATACATTTCCCCTTGGAATCACAAATTTCATTTATTCATTAGTTATTCTTTCTTTACTTTGGCATTTCAAATACAATTGCCAGAAATGCTACTGCTTTTTTGATACAGCCATAAATGCTGTTGTTAATAATGGAATATAGTTTCTCACGTCTTCCCAGCAAATGTATCTGGTGACTGAATTCTGATCCTTAAAACAATTTTGTTGATTTTCAACTTGCAGCCATATTTGTTCAGATTTGTCAATAACCAAAGTTGCCAATTAGTTGGATCATTAGTAAAGTTTCTTGATAGCTGTATAAGGGCATGGGACGAAATCCTGCATTAGTAAGGAGGGAGGGTTCAGGGAGGAACTACTCCTGTGGCCAGGCATCTCTTTGAAATTTGAATGCTAGGCACCTCCAGCTTGGCTCCACTCCCTAGCTTCAATGACACTAATCTTGAGAAAGATCATAAGCAATTTTCAACATATTAATATTAAATGCATCAAATGGCTTGCATGATCAAAGTAAAAAAAAAAACTCGTGAAAATTTTCCGAAACAATACATTCTATTCTACAGGGCAGTTTCAAATACAACATTCACAAAGTATCAAAGGGCTTGCTTATCATATACTTCTAGGCAGCCTTTTCCAGTTTTCCCCGATTTAAATTCTAATCCTTGTTGCTCATAATTTACCAAGAAAAATGAAATTATGGTAATCTATTCAAGACTCCCAACTACCACATAGAAGGAACATATACCTGTTCTTTCAGATTCTGTGTAGCACTTTCTGTTGGAAAGCCTCTGACCGCGCCAATTGTCCACTGTGATATAATTCCTGCTGCAACTGCAAACCTTAGCTGCCTCTCTAAAATATCTTGATTTTCAAACATTTCAGGGCACGTGGTCAGTTTTCTCATAATAGCAGCCACAACAGCATCCCCTGAACCAGTCCGATCACAAGTAAAAGGAGATATAAGCACATCTTCTGTCCCAACCACCACCCCATCAAATGAAGGTGCATAGTAATGAATTCTAAGAGTTCCATCAGTCACGAACAGAAATTTAAGTCCATCATGCCACAATGGAGAGATTTCTTCTCTGGTATAATGGTAGCAGTCTCGCCGTTCCTTGGTTTGTTCATAGTTTTCAGCATAGTATTCAGGCCTGTAATTTCTCTTCCTCTCATAATACTCTTCATCCAAAAGAAACTCCAGCTCTTGCCTTGAAACCTCAATGATGTCTGCTTGATTCCAGGCTTTCTTAATCACTTCCCTCGTTTTATCACGAGATCTCCACAATGGCAAGGGCAGATTCAAATCGAAAAATATGTGGCCACCAAACTTTTTAGACCATGCAATTGCTTTAAAAAGTGTGGATTGCATTGAATCTGATGTCAAAACTTCTGAATTGAAATGGAAAATCCTAGCCTGCATTAAGATTGGATGACAAAAAGTTCATATTTTCATCCTTTCCTAATCCCATTCTAAGTAAGGAACCGGCAGTTAACATATCCAAACTTAAATTGGTGAACCTGAAATGTGAAATTTACCTCTTTGAGCACAGCAAGATTCAATTCAGAGCTAACAAGTGAATTCTCAGCCGCCTCTTTCACAGTCTCCATCTTCATCTTCCCATCCTCAAACTTAACCTTCATGTAAGTACAGGCAGTCTTGAAATTCCCATCAAACTTCACAGCTCTTGTTTGCACCTTCTGTTTATTCATCATCAAAACCAACTCATTCCCAAAATCATCCTCTCCAACTTTTCCCATAAACGCTGCTCTTCCTCCCAGCCTCACGTGTGATATGGCCACATTAGAAGGAGAGCCGCCGGGTGCCCTCCCGAATTCAGGAGGATCCCATTGCAGCATCTTCCACTCCGAGTAGATGTCTGGATGCATTTGATTATCATGCACCCTCACCGTAGGCACGAACTCCTTCCGCACAGCGCCGAAGCAGCACACCAATGGAGGGTCCTCGTACGGGAAATCAATTCCATCATCATAATCTCCAAGATCTTCATCTTCCTCCTCACCCACGGGTACCCGGCTCTTCACTTCTCGTACATCTTTCGAGGTTTCTTCACTGGATGCAGCTTCAATTGAGCCATTCTCAACCTGGATCTTTTTCCTACGCCTCGTTCTCTTCGTCGGAGAATCTGTTGACGCCGAAGCCGGCTTCTTTTTCCTGCCACGCCTTGTGGGTTTTGGAGATTCAATAGCTCCATTACTACTGTCACCATTAACAGATGCTCTCGGTGAGACTACAGAAAACTGAGAATTTCTAAAGACTTTTGTAAAGGGTCTCTCCAATTTCAAAATCTCAGTTTTGAGGAGAAGCGAGTGAGGATGAGGAAGAAGAAGAAATGACGCCATTGGGATTTATCTATCTTCTCCACAGGATTTACTTCTTTCGCTGTCTTCTAAATTTTATCGGGTCGTGTTTATGGACTCAAGTCGGGTCAATTCATATAGGGTTATCAAGTACAAATCCGAAATCCAACGGTTACTAGGTCGCCAGACATGTAATCAAGATGATATATATACCGTTCGATAAAAAAGAGGGAACTTTCTCTCTCCTCTTATTGCTTCCTCGGGAGGGTGCGTTGAGTTGGGTTCTCTTCTCTTTTTATGAGGAGGGCAAGGGTTTAACTTTAACCCTCTAAATCAAATCTCCAATTCCTGAAAGACGAACGAGTTTAATTACTCAAGGCAAATCCTTTCTGGGTTTCTGTAACTGGTAAGAGTTTCCAGTGCCAATCTTTGGTTTTCTGTTTTAAGATTCGAATTGCGAATTGCTAATTGCAGAACTTCCTGAAGATTTTCCGTTAATGCTATGGATCTGAATTCCTAAAATATCAACTTGATTTATCTTTTAGCTGAATCTTGGAATCCTCGTTGCTGTTACAATGGTCTGTTTAGGTCTTTTGGTTCATTGGATGTTTTCTTTTTAACTCAATTGAATTGGTGTCTCGGATTGCTTCTTTGTAAATTTCAGATTAGTCCTTCTATGGGTAGGAGTGTTTTTGGGTGGAATGTAGTAGCTTAATGAACAAACTTGTATCATTGTAAGTTAAATATATATATATATATATATATATAAAGGGGAACAGCTGAAAGCACAATATCAATGGCCCAAATAGTATCTCTATCTCTCTCTTTTTTTTTTTTTAATAAGTATGTTAGGCATGCTTGAGCTGTGTTGGTTTTTCATGCACTTGGTCATGACTTCCTCTGGTGTAAGTTTGGAAAAGTGAAGAATGGAGATGATGAATCTTCCCTTTTGGGTGGCTACCGAATAAGACCATTATCTTAATATGAACTTACATTTCAGATCTGAAGCTGTTTCTATACTATGCAATTGTGTGATTGCAGAACGCCATTGAATTTATGGTTAATTCTTTGTGTTTGTAAATTATAATCATTATAAATAAATAAGAAAGTTCATTTGAGAGGTACTTTTGAGAGAATGTACATTGGATTTCAAGCTTTTTTAGAGTCCCTCTGTGTGTCCATAATCAATGTTTTTTCAGTGTTCCACTCAGTTTGCTAATTATAGGGGTTACTTTATAGATGATAGTTTATTTTACCAACAGCAGGCATCTCAAAGTACACGAGCAAGGTACTGAAAATTGCTCTCAATTTGCTTGTGTTGTTATGGTAAAGAGGAACAAAGACATAGAGTTAGGTTGCTATTCGCTTGAATAATGGGGAAAATAACAGAACATTCACTTTGCTGCCTTGGATAAAATTGTACAATCTCATGTTTTGGGGATTTTTGGTGCCAATTCTGTAGGCTAAAAAAGATGGGGCTAACTTGTGCCCCTTTGTTAATTTGAGCTTGGTTTTTTGCACCTTGATTCTGCTTCCATTGTCAATCAAATTCTCTTATGAATTTTTAAAATCAAATTCATGTACCACCTTCTATGTGTATGGCTTTACTGCACCGATACCAGAAAATAGGGGCAGAGAAAAGGTGAAAGGAAGCTTTGTTTCATGATTTGAACTGGGGGTTTGGACTTATACTCTTATTATGTATTTGAGATAGATTGAAATTTGGAGTGATATTTTTTTTATAGAGTAAAGCATGCTTGGGTTGTTAGCTGGGTGTTATTTTTTTGAGATACATACCCATGTTATTTTATTTCCTGTCAGATTATAGAGAGATCTCATCTCAATAACATGGTTGTTAAAGTTCCTGAATTGGCAATGCCCCCTTTAACAGGAAATGGGCTTCTGGGTTTTGCTTGAAGGTCTTCTCCTCTTTGCCAATGCATTGGCAATACTAAATGAGGACAGGTTTCTTGCTCCAAGGGGATGGACCCTAGTAGAAGTTCAAGGAGGTGGAAGAAAAACGCTGAAGGCACAAATCGTTGGGCTCATACATGCATGCCAATACATGAGACTTTTACTCATACCTCTCAATATCATCACCATCATAGTGAAGCTGTTCTCGGGTTGAAATCAATAGATGGAGGAGAGGTTTGTGGCTTACAACATGTATTAATCCTTGAACATTGTGGCATGTTATGCAACCTAAGACAACTGTTTTCCCATCAAGGGCTGTGTTTATCATGTACAATACTCGAAAGGTTGGTTAGAAGATCTGAACATGCTAGTAAGACCATATTTTGTTATCTTCACATTCCAATTTATCAAAATTTTTCTTTTTTTGTTTCTAGTGACTTGCTTTCATTTGCTTAATATGTACCAGAATTTTTAGGCGGATTTGGTTGAGGCTCACTTAGGCTAATTACCAACGGTAGTGGCCCTAGTGTGGCGAAGTTTGGGGCATTTGAGCATTGATTGACATCTTACTAGGCTTACCATTATTAACACGTCTTAGGAGCCAATGCATTAACATGGCAGTTCATGTTGCTTTTGGTCATTTCAAAATTTTATTAGGTTCCTGTCATGTGCCTCAAACATCATGTAGCTTTTTTGTACTGATCCTTGTGTATCTAGTTGCTAAGTGATGAAATATAGAACTAGTAGGCGGTAATGGTTATGTTTAGAAAAGAAAAGCAATTGCCATTGATCGGCTATTTCATACCTGGGTTTTAGAAATGGTAGAAGAGCAGTAGAAATTGAAATATACCAACATTTGGAAAAACTTTATGTACTTTATAAAAAGGTTTTAAAGCATGAGAAAGCAAGTATAGAAAACTGAAAGAAGGGTCTCTTTATATAGGCTTTAGGATAAACAATATATGAAAATAAACAAATTACATTAGAATATCCTACATACAAATATACAATCTACTCTTTTAGAGTCAATCAATCATACATGAGATTGATTCTCTCAATACTTGACACTTTATTTGAGGATAACAATGCATTACACTGATGATTTCCAAAAGCAGAACAGAAACAAAGGAATATAGAAACAGAGAGACGCATCACTTTAACTGAGAGAAACAGCATAGTTTGGTTTTCACTCAACAGGGATCTTAACCTCATTAGTCCTAAATGGAGGCAGGGTCCATGGTGGATTATACCTAGCCAACAAGAACTCTCCAATCACCTTATGCCCATCTCTCTCCAAGCTCTTCCTGAGCTTCTCCACCTTCTCTGCCACCACCTTCTCCGTTGCAACCCCTCCAAAGGTCACCACTCCATACTTCCTCTCCACCTCCTCCCTTATCACTACCCTCTCATCCAACGGCTTAGGCACCTCCTCCACCTTATTAGTATACTTTGATGGCAACACAAACTGCATTGTCACCACACTCTTACCGCCCTTGGTCACCACGGGAGACGTCATAGCAATCTTTTCACCTCCATCTTCTCTTTCTTTTGTTATCACTGGAGCTGTCATTGCAATCTTCTCTGGCTTTGTATTCTGCGGCTTGCCAAGGGCACCTATGTAATTGGCCAAGACCGTAAAGCCACCGTCTTTGTCCCCTCGGAACTGAGAAGGATCGTAAGTGATTTCTGCCACCACGGACGGTGAGTACTTGCGGATTTCGTAATCAGGTGTGGATTGAATAACCTCATATTTTGTGGTTTCCACATTGATCCTACCAAAAACCAAACCCATGTCGAAGGGATTTTAAACGTAGAGAGAAAGCTCAAAAGAGGAGTATCTGAGTTTTTATCTGTGGATATTTTCATAGCTAAGCTCTGCTGAGATTTTATATAGTTGTATTGTTGCTTGGGTAACGGGTTAAGAGGAGTCCGTACTCCTGGATTTTGTGGCGGGAATTTGGTGTTGCATTTATGGGTTTCGTTCATCCACGACTTCCATACGAAACTTGAAGCCACTTCGTTTGAAACTTTGAATTCATTAATTTTCTCGTTCACATGTTTAGAAAAATGCTTCCTACTGTTAAAGCAGAAAGTGTCCTGCTCGGGTGGATACATTTCATTGTCCTTAGTGGCCTGTAAAACCCAGAGTCGTTTCTTTTCCAAGAAACCATGACGATTAAGTTCACATGAAACTCAAAAGAAATGAACTCTCAACAAGAAAATTGAAAATATTATAATTATAATATCTCATATTATATTATAAATTTATAATATAATATATTATTATATAATTAATTTTTTATTTAAAAATTTAATTATAACATTATATATATTTACTCATTTAATACCATAATATATTT